ACTTTATCAGAAAGGGGGCCGCCAAAAAGGCGTACCTGTCAGTAACTCTCGAAGGGGTCCTCACACACGAAGCACTCTTGGACGGTGGGGCAGACATAACTATTATGTCAGCTAAACTGTTCGAGGAGCTGAGGACAGCCGCAGCCGAGAAAAACAGGATAATACCTCTATCTGATTGTGCTATAGAAATGCAGGGTCTCTCAGAAACGAAAACAACCCTGACAGCTATAGCAATGGTTCACATGCAGATTGGCAATATGACACTGTACCACCCGGTACACGTGACCCATGTTGACTCATTCCCATTTTTGGTTGGCCAGGATTTTATAAATCGCTTTAACGCGATTATAGATTATGGTGATCAAACAATGTGGACAACAGTGAGAAAACCACTGCCAATAGAAACGCCTCCGGAGTGTGACACAGACTGCCCAACAGCAGGTACCGCGGAAGGCACAAAGGACTCCTCAGCCGAGGACACGAGCCCGGTGAGTACTCCTCTAACACCATGTGAAACCAAAGAAACCCAAGAGGTCCAAACTCTGACTCAACAAGACAGCCTCCTTTGTGAGCTGGAACAGTCAGAGTCCACCAAACACTACCTACCACTGGTAGTTAAGGGTGTAGAGATCCAAGGGTCCCACACCAACGATGCTGTACTGTCTCTGTGGACAGATAAATCAGCAATTAACCGAGCTTTCTACGAAACCTTGGTTCACAAACACGTTGGTCTAGAACTAATTAAAAAAGCTTTCCGCTTTCCATTAGTTCCCAATAGTTCACAGGTAATGACCGCAGAAGGAGTCATTAACCTAAAACTGAACTGGAATCAACGAGAACTGGTTCACCCGTTTCTCGTTATCCAAAACTTACCACATGCATCCTACATAGGCTCTGACATTTTGGTAAGGTTGGGTGTCCACATGGACACCATCAACAAGGTGCTGTGGTCCCTCAAACCAGCCACAAAGGATACTCCTGTGCTAGACACAGCGAGCCTTAAGGCTGGGCAGACCATTCCAGAGGCCTGCCAAGTTGCTAGCAACCAAGACACCACAGTACCACCTCAGGTGATTAACCTAATGGTGCGAATCCACATAATAGCTGGACAAGCTATTAGCCATAAACAGGCATATTTTCAACCCTCTCCTGCATTTTTCAACTTGGGACTGTCCGTGGAAGCCACGAACCAGGTGAGTCTTGACTCCAGGACCACATCTATTGCTGTGTGTAACACAGGCATGGATGAGGTGCTGATTCCAAAAAACACTATGCTAGG